TTGGATTACTCCTCCTATCAGGTTGACCTTTCAGGATGGAACCACAGATCTTAACACAGACGTATACTCTTATAAAAACACGTCTTTTTGTGACTAATGAGAATAATATGAAACGATGAGACATTATAATTCATACTCCCTCCGTCCCGTTGGAAGAAATGAGATGATTTTTTAGGCAAGCGAATAAATAAAGTAATTTGGGCAAAAAAGAAAGGAAAAAAAAAAGTAAACATATAAAGTAAAAGTAATTAAAGGGAGATAAGTTGGTGGAGGATAAATTGTGAGACTTGACATGTAATGAGTAGGAAAAAGAAATTTGAATAAAGGTGTATTTAAAGAGAGTAAAATACGATAGTATATCCTAAAATGAAATGAGAACCTTTAAATAGGACACCAAATGAGAAAAGTATGAACCTTTCAACAAGTTGGATGGAGTAGTTATTATAGTTTACCGGTCATCATTTAGCGAGTGGGCTCATTAGCATGTGGGGACCTACCCATCCCATCTGCTAAAAATCCTGGCCTGGTCCATATGGGCCATTGACCAGCCCATCCCACTATTTGCATGAGTAGACATGTGGTGGAGTATTTGAAATTCCGCCCATTCCATCGGCTCAACACATGATCTATCCTTGCCCATTCTATTAACTCCGACTGAGCCCAACCAAAAAACTCATTTATGCACTACTTATTAATCAATTATACACCAAATTCATAATTAGTATTATTATAAAATAATAGAAGCGCCATGTAGTTTTTGAGACAAGTTCTAGGCTGAATTCTAGTACAATTAAAGCATTATTTTAATATAAAATTGAACACTGGAAAATTCTAGAATGCAAACTAAAAAAATGAAAATTGGATCAAGAAAGAAAATATCTTATGTATATTATTGCATCAAGGCCATATTGGATGGATGACTACGACTGGTATGGCCGGAAAAGAATGCAGTTTTTGATAATTGGTAATTAGTTGATAAAGATTTGTGATAATAATTAAGAAGTTTAGAATGAAGAATGAGTGTGGTAGTTGTGCATCTCAACTTCAAGAGCGTAGTGCGGCAAAGACTTCTAAGCTATAGTCAAATTTGAGCTTTTATTTTATAATTACATTTTTTTGGAATAACGAATTCTTTTTCACTCACTTATCGATAATTACGAGCCCGTTTGGTAACATTGAAATTGACTTAATCGGTTGATTCTATTGAAATTTATAAAGTTTTGGCTGAAGTGGTTGGATTGGCTGATTCTGCCGATTTATTAAATAATTATATTTAAAATATTTTTTGAAATAATCGGGTGTATATACAACTTTAAATAGGTGTAGTGAAATTAATGTCATAAGTTTATATAAATAAAACATATAGCCTATTAGATTAAAATGAAAGTAAGAATATCTCCTAATAAAGTGGTATGCGGTTAGTGCTCTTAACAAAATAGTCTCGTGGCTATTTGTTAATGGATGAAATATGCTATGGATTTAAATTATCAAAAAAGAATCTATTCTTTGAACTCCTATTTATATATGCTATGTAGCTATTTAACCCATATTTTTTTATTAATAAAATAAAGAAAAATTATACTGTATGAAAAATCATCTACAAAAATTTCAGTCAATACATCCAGAAATGTCACTCCAATCTTACTTTTTCTCATTATGCCACAATTCAGCGCGCAAAATCAAAAGTAAGATGTTTGGTGAAAAAGTTGATTGATAAGCCCGATAACCCGAAAAACAGGGTCACAAAACGGGCTCTACATTGTATTTCGTGATACATAAAAATTCTATATTTGTTCGGGTATGTCCATCTAGGCCAAGCCCTATACATGACATTAGCCCCGCCCGACCGAACCCTTCAAGTCAATCTATATAAACGGGCTAGTGCTACAATTTTATTAAAAGGCCCTACCTGAACGACTAATTATAATTAATTATATATATGAGAACAGCATGAACCAGCTCATTAGTGTTAGGGTTTGTTTAGTCAAGCATAGTCTCTTTTATGGTTCAGATTGGAACACATTTACAGTTATGATTATGGATGCAAACGAGCCGAGACGAACTTAAACTTGGCCATACTTGAGCTTGATAATTAAGAATGCACTGACTTGAGCTCAAGATCAAGCTCAAACAATCATAATAAATTTTGCTTGAACTCAATTCAAGCTTGATCCGAGTTTTGCTAATTAATTTTTATAGTTTAACTCGAATGAAATGCTCAAACGCGAGCTTGATTTCGAGCAAAAAAATAATTTGAGTCGCGCATTTGGAGGATATCGGGGTTTTAGCTTTTTGTTCTGATTCTTTAAGATATCATATTATTAAGATTTTGAGTCTATGTTTTCCTTATTCTTTAAATAAGATTCGAGTAATTTTGGCGTTTATTTCGAGACTCCTTCTCCACCTACTATACATAATTACATAGGCCGTGAAATAGAGAATTTTGATATTGATAATACGTAGTATTATTTTGCTAGAGTTCACTCCTAAAGGGAGCGAAATATTAGATGCTAAAGAGAATGACAATATCACACGTCTTGGGATTGGAAATGAGTGTCAGTATCTTGTGGTCTGATGACATTATTGTGTCACTCCTAAGGAGAATGTCACATGATCGAATCACATCCCAATTCATGTTGACCTTCTTAGCATAGAACCTATACTATAATGGATTAGAAAGAATTGGAAATGAGTCTAGAACCTCCTTATTATTAGATCGTAAGAATGACAATAGCTAGAACCTCCTCTGCCTCAAATTATTTTGTAAAGTCCACATGTTTTAATTAGTTAATGTTAAAGTTAAACCATTTTTTTTTATAATTAATTCAAGTTTAATAATTAAAATTTACATATTTAGAAATTACATTAATAGATTTTTAAAGTTGCTATGTACAAATTCAAATTTAATTAGGAATTGATAGCTAATTATATAAGTGTATAAATATGAGCATGTTTGATTCAACAAGTCAATTTCGCAACTCAACCTAAGATGAAGGGAGTAACTTTTTATTCTTTATTGCTTAAGTTTCACCGGGTGTTCATCGAACAAACACGTGATTTTAAATTTCACAAATTCTTAATAATTTTACAAATTCCTTTTATATCTCCTGCAATACAAAAGTAAATCTAAAGCAAAAATACACTCACAAATGACACAGCGTGAGGTATTCAAAGACCCAACTTAGATTTGATAAGGGTGCTATTAAATCTGGTTAAAAACGATTCAGCTCTAGGGTCTATGAGGGAATGGTAATTGTATAGGCTGCAAAGCTAATTCCTTGCATTAGTTTTGAAAATGAAAGCTTCAAACTTTCAAAGTTTCAAGTCAAAGGAATCTTCAAGCCTTGAGGACCCCTCAGCTATATTTGTGACCGGGAAAGTTCTTCATACATACTCCCTCGTACATCTTCCTGCTTTCCTCTTTTAGCAGTCCCAAAATAAAGTTTTCATTTCGAAAGTTATTCTACATCAAAACAGTGTCAAACAGTATCAAAAAGTGTCAAAACACTAAATTTTACCCCTGATAAGTTTATTTCCTTAATATGTGTGTAGGTCAAACTAGGAAGATTTTAGCGGGACGGAGGTAATATACATTTAGTGGCCGAGTTTGTCATGCAATTATCTAACTTTAAAATTATACCAAATATACCTAAGCCTTGAAAATTATATAAAAACTATATGAAGGATGTTCGATGAAAGGAATTTTAGTCTGTTTGGGTCAACAAGTCAATTTTGCAACTCAACCTGAGATGAAGGGAGTAACTTTTTAATCTTTATTGCTTAAGTTTCACCCGGTGTTCATCGAACAAACACGTGATTTTAGATTTCACAAATTCTTACAAATTCTACAATTCCTTTTATATTTCCTGCAACACAGAAGAAAATTATAGTCTGGTTTAATCTGATATATTCTGCTCAGATCGATTTAGGTCTGATCTGAACAAGCATGATCTGAACGGATTTGAAAGATGCATATATGTTCAATGTGTATTTTATAACTTTCAAAGTCTGTAATGATTGATCTGATCTGATCTGTTTAAGCTTGGTCCGGCAGACACAATTAATGACATTCGAACTTATCTGGGATAAAGTCATAAAGACATACTATCTCATCTTGGATTCTAGTTTTTGATATTTTTTACTATTGCTTATTATTAAGCGATTGCTCCATATGAAGTTAATTGATTGCGGCAGGGCCAATTTAGTCATGTGGCGCAATTTGAAATATAAACATGATGTCATTTTTGTAGGATCCAATATGAACTTAAAGCTTGACAATATTGTAGAGGGATAATCTTAATTATATCTCCTTAATTAAGTTGTTCAAAAATTAATGAAACATTAATGAGATTTTAAAATTTGAAACTGGATTACCAAGGTTTATGAGACCGAAAGTATCATGTATGGTAATATTTTTATTTTATGCATCTCAAATCAATCTACTCCAACTTGGTCTATTGAATGCCAAAAGAAGAAAAATACTTTAGATATATACAAAAGAATCACAAAATTATAATTGCTTTCGTTTATATGCTAGAGTTGGTTTCTACAAGACATGATGAATGATGGTGCTAGTATAGGCTGCTAGCGACTTCCCTTTAGCTTTAATTGACTAATTTGCACCCGTGGGATTAGTTAATTATACTTATGGAACTTTTCTTCTATTTTAATCGTTGAGGCAGACAAATCTTATCAAGCTAAGCATATTATTATTATTGGGAAGAAGACGTAAAGTTGATATAGGTTTCATACTTTGATGATTAGGAAAAAAGTGGAAATATTACCCAAAATGAAGAGGAGAATTTGGGTTGGTGATATCATAGGATTGGAATTTGGAAACGTCACCACCGCCCAATCCGACAGTCACTACATACGCTTCGTTTGTATTTGGGCGTTCCGTATAATGCTGACAAATCATGCTCAAGAATTTGTCCCATTGGTTAAATACATAATTGTAGTTCTACGTAGATTACACCATGTATCATAGGGAAAATAGATATATACGGAGTTATTCACCTCATTCAGCATTAACTTTTTTACATCGTTTAATGATTTACTCTGAGGCGGTCGGTACCCTAGGCTTGGGGTTTTTCTTCTCCGGCGGCAACATTCCGTTGTCCGGCTCGGTGTTTTGGCAGCTTCGGACTGAATCCGAAGAGATTAGGGGCGCAGTTCCGCACCGCAGCGCAATCGGGTCTAATTCTTGGGCTTCGGTAAACCAAAAGGAAGTGATACAGGGCGATTGCAGAAGTTTCGATCCAGCACTCTGTCTCGCAACCAAAGCAAGCGTCTCTCTGGTAGTAGGGAAATTCCATGAGCATACTCAGTTGGAATTGCAGGGGGCTGGGCAATGCAGCGACGGTCCAAAGTGTGGTGGATATTGTGCAGCAACACAGGCCGTCAATACTCTTCTTGATGGAGACGAAGGTGCGATGTCAGCGGGCGAAGGAGGTCATCCGAGCACAAGGTTTCATACACAGTTGTGGAGCAGACAGTGCTGGACAGAGCGGGGGCTTGGTACTGGGATGGACCGATGATATTGATATCTCTGTGTTCGATATTCAGCCAACTTTTATTGATGCTATGGTCAAGTTAACACCTGCTGAAATTCCTTGGAGACTTACTTGCTACTACGGATTCCCGGAGACTGTCAGAAAGCGAGAGGCCTGGGCACTTCTCCGAGACTTAGCAGACCGACAACAGGGTCCTTGGATGGTGATTGGGGACTTTAATGATATTCTTTATGATTCGGAGAAGAAAGGCAGAATCCAACAGCCACGATGGAGGCTTCGGGGTTTTCAGGAATGCGTTCTGGCCTGTGGTTTGCGTGACTTCCCGTTCTCGGGGTACCAATGGACGTGGGGAAAAAGTTTAGGGATGGCTTATTGGGTGGAGGCAAAGCTTGACCGTATAATGGTCAATGATGAATGGTGGAACAGGTTCATGGCAGCTCAAGCTTCCTCGGTGGAAGCTCCTGTAAGTGATAATATGGCCCTAAGCATGTCTATTATGCCTACTATTCATGGGAGGAAGAAAAAGTCTTTCAAGTTTGAAAATAAATGGCTAAAAGAAGAGGAGTGTAGGACTGTGGTAGCTAGTAGTTGGTGCGCGGGAACCCACTTGACTGTACCCGAAAAAATATACTTTTGTGGCAATGAACTACTCCGGTGGGATGCTTGTAAGAAGAGGGGTTTCCGGCACCAAATAATAGCGTGTAAACGTAGAATTGCCTGGCTTCGAGGGAGAGTGGACAGGAATAGCATAGCGGAATTTCTTAGACAGAGAGCTACCCTTTATGCTCTTATGGAAAAGGAGAATGAGTATTGGAGACAGAGAGCTAAAGAGTTCTGGCTGAAGGAAGGAGATATCAACTCTAGATACTTCCATAATGCGGTTAAACAGAGAAGGAGGAGGAATAAAATTGTGGGACTCAAGGCAGTAGGAGGGGAGTGGATCACCGACCGCAAGAAAGTTGGGGATATGGTAACAGATTATTTTCTCACTATTTTCCAGGCCCAACAAGGGGAGGAAATACTCAGGGAAGTGGATTTCAGGAAGCAAGTGAAGCCTAGTCAGAACACTATATTGCTTCGCCCTATTAGCCCGGAAGAGGTGAAACGAGCAGTGTTTGATATGCATCCCGATAAGGCACCAGGGTCGGACGGAATGAACCCGGCATTTTTTCAAGCTTACTGGGATATTGTAGGACCGGAGGTGGCGCAACTGGTTTCAGGTATTTTCGAATCTGGCTCTTTGCCTAAGGAATTAAATGTTACAAACCTGGTTTTAATTCCTAATAAAGACAAGCCAGAAAATATGGGTGATTGGAGGCCGATAGCGCTGTGCAATGTGGTTTACAAAATTTTTTCAAAGGTTCTGGCAAACAGGCTTAAGCGTATTCTTAATGATCTGGTGGATGACAACCAAAGTGCCTTTATTCCGGGACGATCTATCATCAATAATGTGGTGGTGGCCTTCGAAACACATCACTATCTGAAACGTAAGAGTTCTGGTAAAGAGGGTTATGTTGCTATGAAATTAGACATGAGTAAAGCATATGACAGAGTCAGTTGGAGATTTCTGGAGGCTTGATATGCACTAATTAGTAGTGCACAAGTGTATGTTTTTTACGTATGATTTGTGTGGTTTGTTTACCGTTTTATTTAGTTTGTAAACATTTGTGTGATTTTAGTTGTAATTGTATTTTAATCTTCATTTGTAAGTTGTAAAGTAGAGTTAGGAATTAGGGTGTTGAAAAGGAGGACTTTGAAGTGAAGAAAAATAAGATTTGGCTGCCCAGAAGCACAAACCCGACCGGGTACAATACTTCACCCGGTCGGGTATGACAAAGAATCAGAAACTGCTGAGAAAGTCACTAGACCCGGGCGGGTCACTTATTTGACCCGGTCGGGTCAGATGTGACCCGGAACACCAGAACATGCCGAAGATCGCCAGAACGTGGGAAATATGTGATTTTGACGTTGACCCGGTCGGGTATGTCCTTTTACCCGGGCGGGTCAATGCCCCAGGGTGTTGAAAACACCTATAAATAACCCCATTTTCCTTCACAAATAATCATCCCTTCTTCCATACTCTTAAGCTCAGTTTAGAATAGCATTTCTTTTATATTTTTATAGCATGTTTAGTCTCCAAATGAGGAGCTAAACTTCCATTTCTTGGTGTTGCTCTTGAAGCTTGTTGATTATTAAAGTTGTGAGTTATTTTCTTAACTTCTTTCCTTGAATATTAATTCTTCCTTTAAATACTATTTCTATATCAATGTTGGGGAGTGTTGCTAAGATGACAATTAGTTAACATCTTGACATTGGTCTTAGTAATAGCTATTCCTTCCTCTATGTTAATATTGGGGAGTGTTACTAAGATGACAATTAGTTAACATCTTGATATTAACTATAGTAGGATTCATTTTCTTTAATATTCTTCCTTGAGTATTAATTAATTCCTATTCATATTTCAAATTAATATTTTGAACATTACTTAAAGGATCAACTAGTTTTGTTTCATATATTAATTATTACTAGAAACGATCAACGAACCGATGGTTAATCGTTGATGGTTTCACAAGTAAGTAACTTCGGTTTATTAATGCACGGTCGTGGTTAATAAATTTAAGAGGGATTAATTTTGTTGGTTAAACCGAAACCGTTGTGTTGAGGTTATCAATCTCAATTGATTTCATCAAGGAGTTAAGAGATTAAATGCTACTATCAAGTCGGTATATGGCGTTGTTCTATACTTGACTAATAGTAAGGGTTATTAATGAACGGTCGTTGTTAATAACTTTCCTCGATGAATTGGATATACTCCTCGATTGAGTATTCGAGAGGAGATAAGTTATAGATATAACAATGATCGACTGAAATATATCAACAAGTGGAAAGTAGCAATGCCAAGTCCTTTTTATCTTTGAATTAAATCACATATAACTTGTTCATCTTCGTGTTTAATTTAATTAAATCACTCAATCCCAAAACCCCCCTTTTATTTACTAGTTTTATAAAAAGAGAATTATTCCTTTCCCTGTGGATACGAACTCTACTTCACTATACTTCGTATTAGTGTCGTATTGATATTTATTTTGAGTGCACCTCACGACAAGTGCACGTCAAATTTGGCGCCGTTGCCGGGGAAAGGCAATTAATTTTTCTTTTTATTTTATTTTAAGAAAAAACAAAAAAAAATATTATTTACATATAAAGATTTCTATTTCTTCTGAGCTTTATAGTGTATGGTTAAATATCGTTCTCTAAACGAGATCACCTACCAATCAAACCCAGAAATAGAGCAAACTCTCGAGCGATTGAAAAATAAATTCTCAAGTACCGACTCGGGAGAATCATCAAGTGCTAGTTCTCATTCTAGCGAGCCCGAAGAGCCAACAACTATGGCTCTTGAAACAAGAACATTGAGGGAGCTCACGGCTCCTAACTTAAATCAACAACCTCTATGTATCACCTTCCCCACTCTTGATGAAGGTGCTACATTTGAGCTCAAATCGGGCCTTATTCATCTACTCCCTTCATTTCATGGCCTAAGGGGCGAGGATGCAAACAAACATCTTGCGGAGTTTCATATAGTTTGCACTAGTATGAAACCAAATAATGTTACGGAAGAACAAATCAAGCTGAGGGCCTTTCCATTCTCACTGAAGGACACGGCTAAGGATTGGCTATTCTATCTTCCCTCGGGAAGCATAGATACATGGGCGGCAATGAAGAAATGCTTCCTAGAAAGGTACTACCCCGCCTCCATCTCATCATCTTTGAAAAAACAAATAAGCAACATTAATCAAAAAGATGATGAGACCTTATATGAATATTGGGAACGGTTCAAAAAGTTATGTGCTAGCTGCCCTTATCATGGCTACACCGAGCAAGACCTCATACTCTACTTTTATGATGGTCTTGTTGATGATGATAGAAGAATGGTGAATGCCGCTTGTGGGGGCGGCATTGTCAACAAAACTCCCTCACAAGCAACAAGCTTGATCTCAGAGTTGGCCGAGAACTCTAGGCATTACAACGGGCGGTCCTCAACCCGTAAAGTTGCCGCGGCGGAATCATCTTCATCTTTAGAAAGTCAAATGGCCGGCTTGACTTCTTTGGTTAAGGATTTCCTTTTAAATCCTAGAAACCAAGAGGTCAAGGTCTGCGGCATATGCACACAGCAAGGGCATCCAACAGATTCTTGCCCAACTCTCCAAGAAGAGCAAGTCAACGCCTTGGGTTTCCAAACCCAACAACAAAAGAGGTACGATCCACACTCTAATACTTACAACCCCGGGTGGAGAGATCACCCTAATTTAAGATATGGGAACCCTCAACCACAACAAAATCAGTCCTTTCAACAATCCTTCCCAAATCATCAAGGTCAAAGCTCCAACTCTAACATGTCCACGGAGGACATGATTCGAGCTCTTGCTACGAACATGGGCACTTTGCAACAAAATGTTTTGCAATTTCAACAAGAAACAAAGTCAAGCATTCAAAATTTGGAAACTCAAGTTAGCCAAATTTCGATTGCTGTGAGTAGGCTAGAGGCCAAAGAATCGGGAAAACTCCCTTCTCAAACGGAGCAAAACCCGAGACAACATGTCAATGCGATCATGACGAGGAGCGGTAAGGAGTTGCAAACAAAGGAGGCTGAAGAAAAAGTTAACAATGACGCGTTTGACCACAACGAGGGGGAACCAACGAAGACAAAATTTCCTCCACTTTCATCATATGAGCCACTCCCTCCATTCCCTGAGGCGCTGAAGGACACAAGGAAGTTGGAGAATGATCGGGACATCTACGAGACCTTCGCCAATTGTGAGGTAAATATCCCACTCTTTAAACTAATCAAAAGTGTTCCCCGTTATGCAAAGTTTTTAAAAGAACTATGCACGATAAAAAGAAAGAATAAATTGAAAGGGAAACAAGAGGTCAAGGTTAGTGAACATGTCTCGGCAATTTTCCAGAGGAAACTCCCGGAAAAATGCAACGATCCAGGCATGTTCACTATCCCATGCAAAATAGGGGACACTTTATTTCCTAGGGCCTTGTTAGATTTAGGGGCTTCAATCAATGTTATTCCATATTCATTATACAAGTCCCTAAAACTTGGCCCTATGCATGAAACCGGGGTGATAATCCAATTGGCGGATAGGTCTAGCATATACCCAAAGGGTGTCGTAGAGGACGTGCTAATAAAAGTTGAAAATTTGGTCTTCCCTGTCGACTTCTATATTCTTGAAATGGAAGCCGATAACCAAGCTACACCCATCCTTTTGGGAAGACCTTTCTTAAAAACGGCCCAAACAAAAATAGATGTGTCTAATGGTTCATTAACTTTAGAGTTTGATGACCAAAAAGTAGAATTCAACATCTTTGATTCTACAAAAAAGCAAATAAAAAAACAATCCCTTTGTTCTCTAAATGTTTTTGAACCACAAACATCACCTATTTTTGTTGAAAAAGAAGCTGAGAAAACCTCACTTTTTGAAGAGGAAGAAAAAATTGAGCATAGGGTAGAGGAGATAACCAAGAAGAAATCACGGCTTTACTGGAAAAGGCCAAAGAGGAAGAATGAAACAAGGGATATTCACGATCCCACATAAAGCAAAAAAAATAAAAATAAAAATAAACGTCGTGCTACGACAATTAAATAAGGCGCTTCTTGGGAGGCAACCCAAGTTTCTATTGTGTTTATTTACATTTTTTTTTGTGTGTGTGTGGGAAAACCTTTTCAAAAAAAAAAAAAATGGGCAGTACACCCGACCGGGTCCCTCATTTCACCCGGCCGGGTGTATTTGTTAAATGGCCCCTGGAGTAAAGAACCCGACTGGGTGCAACAGACCACCCGACCGGGTCAACTGACAAAAAAAAAAAAAAAAAAAAAAAAAAAAAAAAAAAAAAAACTCACTGCCTCCGGAGAACCTTTACACCCGACCGGGTCACATACACCACCCGACCGGGTCGTCGAATTTTGACCTCAAAACCAGACGGGCTCAATCGTCTTCAACCTTCTTCTTCCCCAAATCAAAAACCCTCTCCAATTCTTCTACCGTTAAACACCAAAAAAAAAAAAAAAAAAAAAAAAAAAAAAACTCACCCCTCACTCAACCAAATCCATCAATTAACACCATATATTTTTTTTCCTCCTCTTCATTTTTTTTCCTCCTCTTCACCCTCTTCACTTCTATATCCACAAAACCAAATCAAAGCCACTCATTCACAAAAATCCAAAATTGCCATCTACCCCCCCCCCCCCCAAAAAAATGGACAGACACCAAAAAGAGCAAAGAGATTCATCCTTTTGGACATCTCGGACACAAGCACTAGGGACAGTGCTTTGATTAGCTTGGGGGGAGAGTTTCATGGAATACTCACATTTCATTCTTGTTCAAAAAAAAAAAAAAAAATTAATGAAGCAAAAAAAAAAAGAGCTTGTTAAGTTGAAAACCTGAAAAGGCAACTTAAGCAAAAATAAAGCAAAAAAAAAAAAAAAAAAAAAAAAAAAAAAAAAAAAAAAAGAGTGAGTTGTGAGGATAAAAAAAAAGGAGAGAGAAAATTGGGAAGCTGGGATGAAAACCCGAAAGGGCACCTAGGCAAAATGAGAGAACGAGAGAAAGTATTTTCTTTTATTTCTGCAGGATCCTAAGGGTAACAATAAAAAAAAAATTGAGGTTGATAACAAAATGTGGAGTTGAAGACCCCTCTTTACTCTTATATTTGTGGGGATATTTTTGTGTTGTTCTACAA